TAGATTGCCCACGTTCGTTCGTCCTCGTTGTGGTCTTCATTTTCGGTTTCGATCGAGTCAAAATCTTCCATGAATGTTTTTTGCTCGCTATCGCAAGTAATGAATTTTGATTTTCTGTAACATTTTTGGTATAAATAATGAATTTGCCTTCATACTCTCTACCAGTCGCAGTGGTATAATGAATTATGCAGGGGAAGTAAAGAGCAGCAGTGAAGAGCAAAAGACTTATAAATAATCATTGTGTAAGCACTAATGTTTTTACTTCCTCTTCGTGGCTCGCGGGTGTTGTCTCTCGTTCCATCCTCACGCTGGCACAGGCTTTATTTTAACAGTGTTGATTTATGTGTTGGCGAAGAAGAAGTTCAAATAGAAGAAAAAACGGATTGAAATGATTGTGCGAAGATTGATCATGGGACAATTCAAAATTAACTTTAGTCTCATTGTGGCAAGATTATTTCGACAAACCAAAAAAACGTTTCACAGTGTTATGCGCATGGAAGTACTCATATTTTCACGTTGATATGCATGGTCATAGGCAAAATCTTTGACTTTGCACTTGAGTTCGATTGCTGTCATACCTGAGGTCTTTGTCTTTTTAATGGTTCTTAATGGAAGCTGCTCAATTTCATTCATCTAAAATTTTGGAGTTCTGCAGGACGACCTCACATTCAAAGTGCAGGAAACCTTCTGACTCTGTACACAAGGGCAACTTCTATAAAGGTCGTCGGTCTGGCACTAATCTGTCAACTCCCACATGATCGGGTGCGCTTAATGACTTAGGATGGGGTCTCACTGGGGAGCGCGGTTTGGTCTAGGGGCACATCACTGTTGTTCTTGGGTGCATGTTGGTAGTAAAGAAATCAAAACAATAAACAGAACCATATATTCTGCAAACGGCCCTAAATCCGTTCATTCTATGTAGAATTTAGGAACGAAAAATGGTAGAGAGAATGACTAATATGTGATAATGTGAACATCTGGAATTCTAAGCGAATATCTTGCCCGTCATAGACCAATGGAGCCTCTGTTATAGTTGGTGGAAACACTGTCGTCGATTTTTTCCAATAAATAAGCATAAAGAATTTTTCCCGTTAGTGTACAAACTTGTTGCCAAGGCCCTTTTTTCTACTGACGGGTGAAGCAGCAATAGTCGCTAATATTTCCCATTACAACATTTTGTCTCAGCCCTGACCATAAATTATACGCATCTTTATTTCTTCATTGTGATTTGAATTTTCAATATCCCATTGTGATTTTATTGAATCATGAGGAGTTCAAGTGCTGCCGTACAGCATGCACGTCATATAAATATGATGTTCGCTTTACGGATGCTTTCGTGCCTCTTAGTTTTACGGAAAAAGTAGGAGGAATTACGCAGTTTGACTTCTAATTTTCTCAGGTTATGGAACAACACACTTTTTTATTACCAAATGTTATTTATTTCTTCTCTGAAAAGTGCAAAGCTACCACGAAATCGGACCTACATTGGTGGCGTTCTAGTAAGTAGCCCAATTGCTAAAAGTCAAGCATTATATTCACCGTCAAGCAATGTGTTCACTTTTTTCAAAGTATTTTTTGATAACGTTACCAGAAAAATGCTGAAAAATAGTAAATGAGTAATGGATGTGAGCAAAATCTTTGAGACGGTGCCTTCCGATTAAAGGTGTCATGGACTCTGGTACATGGAACTTTTTATAAAAGCTGTTTTGTAAAAGTGAATCCCAATGAACATTTTGACACAAGCATAACTTTCTTCTTTGAGTACGCCTTTCGTTGACTGAATGACCTCACCGTTCTTTCAAAAATAACTGCATAGATTTTTTTGAGCCCAGATTCCTCCAAATGATAGGCGGTTAGTCCATAAAAGTATAGAAAATGCATTAAGGAAGAAATCTAACTCTTATTTGTGACGTTTATGCGTACTTGGTACGTTTTCATCCACGCTTTGACCTTTTACGAACAACGAGCCCTTGCAGTAGCTTCATGCAACTCCCATTGACGTCTGCTTTTACATAGCTCAGTGTCGCCTTTATACTGGTGGAGTAACTCGCTCAATCTTTTAAGACAGCCGATTATTTTTCGGTAAGCAAAGCGTCTTCCAAAAGAGGTTTTGTTCTATGCTTTGTCAGTGTGTAAATTTTCTAGAGCGTTTCTGCAATTTCGAACCTCTTAAATTTGAGCTTATAATAAGCCGAAAGCGGAATTGTTATAGATTGTTCATGGCAGCACGGTGACTGCAAACATCAAGATACACTGGGGTGGGAGAACATTTTGCTTTGTTACAGAGATAGTTGAACTTTAGCTGTTAATTAAAATCCAACTTCTGCAAAAGGAAGCTAGAAGATTTTTGTACTCTCCAGACCCTAGAGAAGGCGAAACTGTCGAAGCTCTAGCTACTGTACTGTTATTGCGCTGTACTCAATAAATACTCTTAGCAATAACCTCGTATCTGTTTATCAAGACGAACTTCTGAGATATGGAAATTTGTTTCTGTGAGATTCAAAAAGGGAGATTTTACCAGCTAATGTAGATTAACTCGAAGACTGAGGGCAAAATTTGAAATTTCACTTTTCTAATACAAGTAGGTAAAAATATTTTCTTTAATGATCAATGTAGTTATGATTATATCAAGTGAAAAAGTGTGTTCAGTGCTGGGACATGTTTCTAGGACGTGAACACTTTCAGCAACATATGCGGCCATCCCTTATATACTATACAAATCTCTAAGGAAAGTATAAAGTTTTCCTATTGCCCATCTCTATTGCCTCATCATTGTCACAGGACGACAAAGCGAGCGGGAGAAGCGCTTAACACATTGGGTACCGCAGACGCACGGCGGTAGTCTGGACCCGTGGAGCACGCGGCGGCTTTGAGGCGAGCGGCCTGCAGTGACAAGTGAAACGTGATGAGTGCTGCCGTCCTTCGGGAAAAAGGGTGCTGATTTAATCCCTAACACGACGCTTCGGTGTAGTTTCTTGGTGTTATGTTTTCGTTTTCAGTACAATATGCCCAAATCACCGACGCACCATATCACAACATATCTCATATAGTAAGAGCGTAACATAAGTGTTACCTTATAGATTTGCGTTTTGTATCAGGAATCAAAATGTTAGACAACTGAGCGCTTTTTCTTTGCTATATATTAATTGAGACCAAAAAATAATGCCAAAAAACTGCAGTGAAGCGTCATGTTAGGGGATCGAGTCATATCATGTCAAGGTGCGACAGCACGAGGCACACATCACTGCGAGCTGCTCGTCGCCGAGCCGCATCATTGGGAGCCAAAGTCTCTTTACTTGCAAAATTCAGTCTCTTGATTTGCCCTATAAATAAAAGCCTAGTAATCGTGGAAGGCGTTGTGATAAGACGACAGTAGTTCACAGGCCACATTAACGCACTTAGTATTGACCGTATTTCTTATAGTGTGAGGTTGGGTAATAAGTTAATAAAAATTCTAAAAGCTTGTTAATGTTCTCTCTTACTTTCCAAGCTTCATCCTGCTCTCTCTCTCATTCTCACTCTGCCTCTCTCAGTTACTTACTTGCAAGCAAGTGATGGGTGCATTGCTATCACCGCTCCGCACGTCATCTCATCAAATCCTAGCCTTGCACTTTTGTCATCTCTCCTGCTGGAATAAATCCTCCTAGCGCTCGAAAGGCTAACGAAACCTCCCTCGATCGGCTTTTTCTGCAACCCTACTTGATAATTTGGAGGCATGTGTAAGCCATTTATGGAGTTTTTTGAGGACTTGGTAAACGTAGAAAACCAAATTAGCTTGATAATTCTCCAGTTCCTCTCAACCATTTTCATCGGCTGTAGTATGAATTCATTTCTTATGGCATTCGCTCACGAATGTGACGTGCCTTTGCATAACCTACATCATGTGTTTACCACTTCATTCCGAGGTCAATATACCATTTGCAGCTGCTTGGCTGCTAGAAGCAATGAACATGCTCTTCCGATAAGAGGACGCTTTCCTCTTGATGAAATCCATCGCACTGTTCTTATCGTCCATTTGTCGTCAACTTCTCTGGGTACTTGGCAACCTGTCAAGTTTTCGCAGCCGATATATAGCTTCCTGTATTTCAAGTTTCTATGTTACGGATTCAACTGAATGTTACATTCACCATTTATGTGTTTCAGAAGACATTTTTGAACTACTTTTGAATATTGTACAAATTCTCAACGTGGCTAAAACGTCAAATAATCTCAGCTGCGTTGAAGTGCAATAAGGGATTATCAAATCAAGTCGATGACTCCGGGTTTTTGAGCATCACATGTATCACCTGCACAACGTGTTCTACTAATAACCGTTGAATGAATTGAGACAAAGCGCTAAATTTCTCATTCATTCCTGTTTGTGCAGTCATACTAAGGGGTCTAGATACTCATTAAGAATTCTGTTTTTCCTACGTCTCCATGGAGAAGTCATACTTTCAAGTAAGGATCTTTCTGCCGCACGTTAATTCTCTAGAAGAACCACTCGCTAATTACCCTTGCCATCTGCTGTTCTTGAGACGCATCACGTGTTCAGCCCAACTGATATTCGATATATATAGTCGTATACGACACGATAACTGATTTCTGATCGCAGAAGAGTTTTGAGACATCCGATTTCCACTTTTCTATCTCTTATTTACATGACACGAGAAATTCCTAGTGTCACGCTGCTACACTGAGTGATCTATCATTTTGTTTACATATGCGCCATGTTCACATAAAGCTTCGCAGAGTAGAACATATGGGTACACTTTCGCTTATTTCTTCTTAATCTTTTTTAATATCAAGAATCTCTTGAGAGTGACCATGACCTAGCTGTTTGCTTCTGTTTGCTCACAGTTGGGAATAAATCGTTGTTTAGTTAATTTTTCACCCCGCATAAGACTCTGACGATATTCGTTCTATTATACCCAATAATGTAGAGTGGTGTGCAAAAACGTTTGCGTCAGCTGAGATTCGAACCCAGATCTCATTCTTTCCGTGAGTGCAGCGCGAAACGGGCGTCGGTAGAGCAACGGTTCAGCACGCGCACTTAGAAAGAGTGAGGTCGGGGTTTGAATCCCAGCTAACGCAAGCGTTTTTGCACACTACTCTACCTTATTGGGTATATTTTAACATCATACCACCGCAAGTGGCGGTGAAATAAAATGATTTCTGATTGATATTCGTTTCGTAAAGCGTTTTTAGGAACAGATTTAGTGTGAGATCAATCTTTCAATTTTCACCATTTCGAACTTAGCTAAGATGCATTATCCCTTACTAATACTTGATGTTAACAGAGCGATATTATCAGCAAAATGAATGTGAATTTGATGCAAGCTATTAATTTTCAAGTCCGTGTCAAACCATTCCAATTTTAGCACATTTCCGATAACGGCCGCACTTCCGAGAAGTCGACATCGTTCAGTCGCATCAAATCCTTCTCAGAAACCCTCACTGCTTGCATAGCTCTCCTTCACTTAGAGTTTTGTCAATGCTCTTGGGGATGACTCGTCCGAGATTGCACGCGTGTCCCTTATTGTGCGATAAGGTAACACTACTCCTGCATTGAATAGTAGTCTAACGGATATGTTTGAAAAAAAACTAGTAAGGCTGTTGGTCCTAGGAACAACGCTAATTCTTCCTAAACAATAAAACCATCATTTTTTGCCGAAAGATACTGCACATTGCGAAGAATTTGTACTCTGCGATGCAACTGAGGATCATTCCCCTTAGGTAGCAAAGAATGAATAAAATATATTCATCCTGAAGCATTGTAAAGTTGCTAGTTGTAGATATTGTAAAAGTGATCAAATAGATAGAATAAAAATGAGATTGAGAAAAACAAATTATCGTCAAATGAGTACCAGATATTGTATCGGAGCACGCACCCACATAATTTGTGCTACTAATGCGAGGCGCGACACGGCATGGCACGTTCACCAATGACCCGAAAATGGATCACACGGTACAGAAAGGGTCAATGGGATTTGCATTTTTGCCAGGTGTCGTGCCCAATCTTCTCACCCTATTATGCCATGTGTCCAATAAGACGTTCAGGTGGCACTGTCTTAGTGTTTTCGGTGCGGATGGTCCTCATAGTTGTTCCAGAATTACGCAGCCTAAAATCGGACCGGGATTTTATAAGCTTCTTCGTACTTGTCTAAATTAACGTTGCGGCATTGGGAATCTTTAAGATTCAAGTTATACAATCTTCAGTTGTAGAACAGTACTGCCAGTGACATTCATAGACACCTTTAAGAGCTTTGCGTGAGAGCTGAAGGTGTTTATGTGTAACTCCTCTGATTCTTACATGATAAAGAAAGAAATTATTTTGCATATAAATTTTAACATATTATATTCACATCAAGGCGACTTATGGGCCTTTCCGAATTGAATTGTAGAATACAATCTGCGTACAGGTGAGCCCAATATACACATGTGTGATTACGTAAATACAGAATATATACATTCCGTCTGATCTAGCAGACTTAATAAAAGCAAACGATTGCACTCTTAAAGCCATCTACGTCTCAGAAAAAACCCAAGGTCTCTTTTGGTCTGTGTCCAGCTATATTCACCACGTGATATGTATTGCCCAGCTCCAAGAAAACCTAATAGCAAAATTCTCATTCAAAAAGTTTGGTGGAGATTCAGAGCTTATAACTGGCCGATGTGCTCTAAGGTCCGAAAGCGGTTTAAGCTGCTGTTATCATTCAGCATGATCCTCTTCTTATATTTCATATTCTCTGTCTGTTGAACGTGCCAATTACACTTGTGATTCACTTGATGTCTCAAAAACCATCTAATTCGATTTGTTCACCATTACAGGTGAATTTGTCATGAAGTGAACTTTGTAACAATTTATGAGCAGTTCTTCTGATATCTTTCAGTTTACTAAGCATTGCGTTTGTTTCAGTCAAGCCTATCGAAGATATGACGATCCTCTCATCAAAACGGATAATTCATAGGGTTTTTTCACCATAGTTTTCTTCTCAGTTAAGGTGACGCTTTCGTCCAATTCATTGCATTATGACGATGAACAATTTTAATGTTACAGCGTCTTTTTGCCGAAGCTTCTTCTTTTGGATTGAATAGAGAAATTGAAGTTAGTTCAGTTTTGCTGAATTTTCATAAGGATTCTTTATTTCAAAGAATGGTTTTTTTAATTGCTGTCAATGAGCTAGAAATACGGTTTTTCTTCTCCACCAGAATTCCATCGCAAAATATAACCACATCGGGCTCGTTTCCACCGTTTTTTGCAAAGTCTCCTTGAAGTCTTCAAGAAAAAGCGCATGCGAGGACTTTTTGCCTGCGAGTGTCTCATCTAAACAATAACAGAGAGCTCAGAAACCGCATGGTTAGTGATGCCGTGCCGTCATTAGTGCATCCATAATCACTGGTTCGACACTGTTATCAATCCGATTCTGAAACTTTAGTAGAGTTATCACAGAATTCGAATGGCAGTCAGCTTTACTAGCATTCAACAATATTTATCACGAAGATCAAATCATCAAGCAACTAGCTAATCAATGTGCAAATCTAAAATATTTCTCAAAATGACACATGAGAGGCACTAAACCAAACTTTATACTCTTGCGTCTCTGCGTTTAAGTGGGTTTTTTGGGCATAACCACAAACAATGTGACTGTATTTTGTGTGTGTGTGTGTGTGTGTGTGTGTGTGTATTCGTATATGTGTGTATGTGTATGAGTGTGGTGAGTGTGTGGTGTGTGTGGTGCGTGTGATGTGTGTATATGCATGTATGTACATATGTATGTATGCATGTATGCATGTAGATATGTATGTATGTATGTATGTATGTATGTATGTATGTATGTATGTATGCATGTATGTATGTATGTATGTATGTATGTACGTATGTACGTCTGTGTATGCGTATGTGCGTGTGTGTATATGTGTATGTAGTGTGTATATTGCTTCAATGATTACTGCCGAATGGGAAAACCGCTTGATCGTTTCTTACCAGACGTTTCACTACTCTATGCCATTTGCGAGATCTTCTTGCCTGCTGGTTGTTGATGCTTCATTACTGTTAACTGAGTCATTTGTGCATTTCCCCAGAGTGTCAAGTCCATCTGATTTAAGGGTGTTGTCGCGAAACGTAGTTGCTGGGCCTTTGTGAATCAAACTGAGATTTGCCCATTGCAAGCAGATTGACACTAGTCTGAGATCAAACGAGATTCTTTTTATTTAACCGCTTCTAGCGGTGTTATGATGTACAACTAGATACCCATTGATGTAGAGCAATGTACAAAACTTTCGCGTTAGGCGGGACTAGAACCCGCATTTCACTCTTTCCGGGGATGCGTGCTCTATCCGTTACACTACTGGAGCCTATTTTACACATCGCTCTTTTCACGCTACAGCGCATCTACCTCTCATCCGCCAGCCGTCATCGGCCTGGCCCGGGTATTCGGTCTCGACATTGCACATCGCTCTACATCAATGGGTATCTAGTTGTAACATCATAACACCGCTAGAAGCGGTTAAATAAAAAAAATCTCGTTTGATCTTCAACACCCAATATCTGTCAGCGTGACTGGGTTCAATGTCGAGACCGACCACCCGGGCCAGGCCGTTGACCGCTGGCGGCTGAGAGATAGATGCGCTGTAGCATGAAAAGAGCGATGTGTAAAATGGGCGTCAGTAGTGTCACGGATAGAGCACGCGTTCCCGGAAAGAGTGAAGTGCGGGTTCTAGTCCCGCCTGACGCGAAAGTTTTGCACATCGCTCTACATCAGTGGATAACTAGTCTGGAGAGTCGAAGCCTGCAGTACATCACCCTTTGACATCCAGAAATACCTCTATCCAAGTCAAGATAGGAGGTCGACTATTAGGTATAGACATTTTTGTTGATTCAGCCTTCAAGTACTATTTTTATTACTACTAAATTATTCCATGCCAAAAATTCGAATGATGTGACTTCTGAAGTGCTCTCTATTGCCTAATATTGTAAGTAACTTATTTGAATTAGCTGCTGGGAGTGCGTTTATGATTGTGTTTATGGTCGTATTCTGCAAAGCCATTTTGATGTAGTAAACAGACAATATCCTGCACTTTGCACGCGTTGACATTTATGGCGACGGTAAATGAAAACGGAAAAATCCGAGAAACAATGACACCTTTATTGAGCCTTTAATCAAAATTCACCTCTGAATGAAGCTCCAACTTTATTCCAACGGTTCTCCAATTGATGTCCATAATTTGAGTCAACAGAACCCTTGCACTCAATAGCCATGGCAGTGGCGATCTTAATTGCCTTTGTGTAGAAGTTTTTCTCTGTTCAAGCCAAGATGTTCAAACATTGATCTTATGCTTCTGTTAGACGCAGAAACATTTTCTTGAGTTCCACAGTAATCGTGCAAAGAGCACAATTCTACTTTAAAATCTTCTTAATGCAGCATTCAACTCAATGCTAACTATGACAAATTCACATTACAGTATATTTAATCAAACTCATCTTAAACGTTCTTTCGGATTTTACCTTTTGTAATCGTCGCCAGTCGAGAGCAAAACTAAAGTGAGGGGGCCTCAGTTAAAAGCACAACGGTTTAGTTAGACCGACTAGATCCCATGTTAATGAAATGAGTCTTCTGGAAATCTAAAAAGATGGTAATCACAATGTGGAAGCCTTTATGACCGCTCTGAGTAAAATACTACTTCCCAGTACTCTGCTTAGACGCCCACATAATGTCTAAGATGTGACATTTGGCCGAGCATTATGATATTAATGGAAACTCGTCTCCGAAAGTGACAACCACCGTCCATTTTCTTGAAAAGTCACGAGTTTACTTGGCGTACGTTTCATCGTAAGAATATTCAAACTTCTTGCTGATTTGATGGCATTTTGTAGATGAGTAGGCTACAAGGACTTGATGGTGGATGCAGTACCAAAATAAGCCACTCACACAATTCCTGTTCAGCAGTGCAACTAAGTTATAGTTCATTTTTGTTATAGCTCCTTTTGGTTTAGTGAAGATAGCAGACTAATAGAGAGCATGATAATCAACATAATCACGTAGTTCTTTTCCCCTTTTCCTCTTTTATCCAGGCGGTTCTTGAAGACGCTT